CATGTTGTTGACACCTACTCTCTCCTTTTCGTTTATACTATTTTTAAATTTCTTGTAGAATTCAAATACGAAGGGGAAGTCTCTGAACGACTTCTATGTACGCTGCATGAGCTATACGCTATTTATGGATCTACCAGTTATTTTCCGAGAGGTAAGTTCCTTAGTAGTATAAGTTGATGTATATTCCTTACTTCATCAGTTGCTACAATTAATCGATCTAGATTTCATACTACGACGACTGCTTGAGCTAGGGTCTGGCTTAAGTGAGCGGTTCAGGCGAGGAATTCTTCCAGCTAGCTTTTTTGTATCTCTTATCGCAAAACTGGAAATTAACTATATTGATTTCATAGAAGTTTTGTCATCGGAATACAGGTGGGGTATTAGTATCCAGGCTAAGAACTCTCTTCTTTTCCTTTTTCCGATGTTTATACTTTGAAGGACGGGCGACCCTTGGTGGACTCAAAATGAAGCTGGACAGAGATATATCATGGAAGTTGGTATAGCCGTAGTGCAAGCGTTCCTGGATAGCGGAGCAAAGTTCACTCCTATGGAAAGGTAATCTTTTAGATATGAAAAACAATTCAGAAAAGAAACAGTTTCTTTATCAAAATTGCGATTGCATTGTTCGTTCTTCCAGAGCAAAAATAGCTGCCATTTGTGATTCCTGTGTGTCAATGTTTTCACTTGATGCTCGAGCTGTTTCATCACAACACCTTCTACAGCTCGATCGACACTTCTCTGCATTACATCTCCGTCTTACTGCTATGTCCTCATAACACGTTGTGACCCTTAAATTTATTGTTTGAATTCAAATCTTTCATAAAACCCTACTACATCTATTATCGATTGTTATTCATCGTATTTCGTTTGTTGTTGACGTTGTCTATGCAGCATTGTTGTTCTTTCGTTCTCTCATACTCGCCAGCACGTACGCGAATTCCGTTGAAATGCATTCGGTTAATCTTGTTCAATTTTACTGATCTACGGCTATCTTATGTTGATATGAATTGTTCTCTACCTTCAGATGAGGTACAAACAAAATATTGTTACTAGGTGATATAGGTTGTTGTCTACGTCTTTTGCCATGTATTTTGGTTTTTTTTTGTGCAGCGGTCGATAAAATATTTTTATTTCAATTTTTTTTCGATGAATTTGTATGTTAGGGTGTAGTACAACGGCTACTGTAACATCTTTCTCTACTACCTGAAAACAGTTAGTTGCTCCAATACCTGACGATTCAAAACTTTTACAATCTTCAAAACTTTTTTTTGCCACTTCAAAACTCAAACAGTCTTCGAAACCTTTTTTTGCCACTCTCTCCTCTTTAAATTATAATTTGTACATACTTTCGTGAATTTCTACTCCAACAACATTCTTCCTAATTTCCCAAAAAGGTGTAATCTCTTCCATATTCTTAGTCTTCTCTCTCTTCGTTTGTCTTAATAGATGTTGTCAACACTGCGCGCCTAAAAAGAAGTGATGCTTTTTTTGCGCCATCAAAGGGTTGAAGGTCTTTCCATTTAATTCCTTTGTAGGTTTTTTCTAAACCATACCTTTACTGCCACAACTGGTTGATAATTCAGTATCTTTATGACTGGTGTAATGAGTAACAGCGTAACACGAAGTTGTTATCAATTTTTATAGCTTATATGGTAGTGAAGGTACTTTCTTAGGTGATTGTTTTTTTTTGACAATTTCTGATATTTACCTTTCAACCCAATCCGTTTCAATTTCTAAAACGGACGGTGGTCTTCATTTGCTAAGTGATCCGTAGGTTATTGGAACAGATAGTTGCTATTAGTCCCATTTTTTGCTAA